GTACAACTCTCTGTTCCATTCTATGCCGTCCTCACAGTCTCTAACATGCTCAAGCTCATTGCTATAGTCAATCCACCTGGTTGAGGGTCCTCTCCTCTGCCACCCCTCCACCTTCCCATTCAGGATATCCCTCTCCAGGGAAAAACCTAGCAATATCCCCCAAGTACGTGACTCTGAGGAGCACTCTGGTTGCACCTTCTCCAAGACGTATCTGTTGTTCTTTGGCAGTCCATGGGATATACAGCACTCCTCTCTAACACTAATGTAATCTATTAGGGTGAGATGTAAGTCTAATCAGTTCTGGGTGATATAAAAAGTAGTACACATACCTAGACAAGGATACACAAATGTGGGAAGGATAAATGGTAGAGATTGTCCAGGGACTGAGGAACCCACTGGGCTGCAGATGCTGAGATGAAAACTCTCCTGCAGAGTGGATAGCAAGAGCCTGTCCCTAGAGCCATGACCTTCATTCCAACTTCCAGCTTCCTATAGCATCAGCAAGCCTCAGACAAGTCCCTCTGGGAAATCTCCTTTAAAGCCATTTCTTCGCCTCTGGAAGCAAAATGATTAACAAACCTCAAACAAAAGATTCAACCAAAGTTTTACTCATTAAGTAGCTGAGGCCCAGAAAGAGGAGGTGTTTTGTCCATGGTCACTCAGCAGCATCCCAGCTGCAAGATAAGAAGCATCAGGCTAGGATAAATCGGCCTGAAACTTGCAGCATTTTAAATAAGAACTGTTGTCACAAATCAGTACACCTACCCTGCAAACGCCTGTAATGTATAGTATCAGGGGGAAAAAAGTCTGTAAAGTGGAATTTCATGTAACAACCCTTGGCATCACAACTATGGACACTACAGAACTGGCATGTGGAAAACCTGGGTCCCAGGCCAGACCGATCACAAACGTCCCCTCCAACGGTGGGATCTGAAGACAGGAAGGCCGCTGGGGCAAGGCCAGCCACATCTGCTCTCCATTCTGCTGTAGTGGCGATCCTCTGCCAACATGAATCCCTGCTGACTCAAGGGGGGTCCCCCAGATCCAATGCCTCACTTAAAGCACAGCATGAAACCCTCCCCGCTAACTCTGCCACATCCCACGCAGCCCTAGGGGGATGGAATCAGTATCTCTCTCTAGTTGTACAGATTCCATAACCAAATTTTTCACATCAAAATTTATGACACATGGGCTGACAGCAGGACAGAATATTAAAAATCAGGACCTCCCAGAGAAATCTGGGCCGTGTGGTTGCCATGCCGACACCCCATAATGCCAAACAAGCATCTCCCAGGTCCAGAGCAACTTGGCTGGGCTTCGAATGGCCCAGACACCCTGAAGGCAGAGTGGCCTCCTGGCCCAGGCAGTTATGCAGACCCTCCCTTCCCCAGCCCTGCTTGCTCGCTGGCTCCCCTGGGGAGTGATGATGATGGCATTCGTCTGAGTTTCTCAGCCTCTGTCAGCTGGGCTGGACGTATCACACCCTAGGAATCTGAAAATCCACATGCAGCATCCTGGTCCAACCAGCCACAGAAATGCATTAGGAAGAAAGAATAAGTAGTTACCATAAATTCAAGGCGAAAGCACATCTTGGGCTGTATCTGCCCCTTTTAAGTTGAGCAGATGATTCTGCCTGGGGAAGCTGAACACAGTTTCCCCTTCTATTCCCTTAGAACCAGGGTACAGCTGGGAATAAAACATTGGGGGGATATGAAGCTTGGAACACTGATTACCCCACAGGCAGAGAAGGGTAAAAACCCTATCCTGCTCATGGTTTTTTGTTGTTAATGTACCATCAAGTCAGAACCCACTCACAGGGGGTTTTCAGAGGCTTTAAGCTGCTCTGGAGGAGATGACCATCTTTCTCCCATGCTGCAGCTGGCAGATTCAAACCACGTGGTTTACGGCTGACAGGGCAACTTCTTGCCACTAAGACACCAGTGCTCCCTTTCTGTTCTTCTAGCAAGTATGTATTAAGTCTTGCTTGTACATCAATGTGAGGATACAAGAAGTTTCTAGCATTGTTGTTTTTGTTGTTGTTGTGTACTGTTGAGTTGGAACTGACCCACAGCTGATCCACTGGCAGCTTTTCAGAGGCAGTTAATCACACAGGAGGAGAGTGCCCATCCTTCTCCCAAGGAGTAGCTGGTGGATTTGAGCCCTGTGACCTCAGGATTGCAGCGTAGCTTCTTGCCACGAGGCCACCAGAGTCTGCTTATCCACTCATTGCTTGTCTTGGAAAACAAATGGAGCCAGAATGCTCCTTGGAGAACCAATTCTTAACTGTTGAATTTGAATCTTCCAACTTTGGGTTAGCAGTGCAACTCCCTTCCCATTAGACCACTGGAGGAAGTCAGTGTATACTGAGTAGAAGCAAGAGGGCAGATGACAAAGAAATTGCTGGAAAGATAAAGCAGTGTCAAAAGTGGTATGTGACTGGGGTCATGCAGGTGGAACAAATACCCAGTACTAAAACTTAGGGGCAAAGAGGGAGCTGACTGTGGTCAGAAAATGTTCCACTGCTTTCTCTCCCTCTCCTCCTCCACTCTCCCTCTCCTCCTCCACTCTCCCTCTCCTCCTCCACTCTCCCTCTCCCCCTCCATTCTCCCTCTCCCTGCCTCCTTCACACTGTCAACTTGGATTCTGGTTCATAGGCTCCAATCTACAGCAAATCAAACCTGTGGGTAATGTTATCCAATGAACAAAGTAACTTACTTGTTCTTACTAATCTGTAGTGAACCCTTTCCCTTCCCGACCCTCTCCCATGTCAAAAATTAGGTATGGCTGGCATCTGTCTCTCTGCCAACCCCATGGACCTTTCCTATAAAATCAGTCTCCTTTCACATGTACAGTCCCTGACAGGGACAGAGTACCCCATTTTTGGTGGTAGGGCCGTTTCAATCCTGTTAACAGATTAGAACCCTGTCCTATCCTGGGCCATCCTCATCATCTGACGCATTGCTGCAGTCACTGTGTCAATCCATCTTGTTGAGGGTCTTCCTCTCTCTCGCTGACTTGCCATCTTTCCAAGCATTGTGTCTATTTCCAATGAATACCGTCTCCTAACAACATAATCAAGTACGTGAGATGAAGCTTTGTCATTGCCTCCAAGGAGCACTCTGGCTGCACTTTTTCCAAGACAGAGTCAAATTATCCAGTAAGAAAGGTAAGCACAGCCTTATTTTTATTTACTTTTAATCTGTACCCAGGAGGCCTCTGAAAATGCACTAGATAGTCAGCTATGAGTTGGCTCCAACCTGACTGCATATAACAACAGTTCAATTAATACTTACCAATTAGTCTGTAGTAAACAATTGGTGTGGTAAAAAAATGTGTGAACCTACAGTTCACAGTTTTAGTAGTGAGACCCTCTGGGCCCAGTGTAGTTTCCACCTCTGCCCCTCCTCCTCTCATTTCAACTCAGACTCTCCCCACCCATCACATCAGCCAACAGAGAGGGACAGGGCATCTGGCCAGCCTGTCTCTCCCCTGCTGACCTCTCACGCTGGGAAGAAGCCCCAGATGTGGAAGGTCCCACTACTGATTTGGCCAGTTCAGGATCCAAAATGTCCTTCACCCCAATCTCAGCACTCTGGGGGTTTCCTCTCATCGGCCTTCTGTCCAAATAAAGCTGTGTCCCAAGAACAAGGACAGGCAGCCCAGAAGCAAGACCCTAGAGTCTCCACTCAGACCTGAATCTAAGACTTGGAGGAGGAAGCCTGGAATACTCTACCAACCCCAAGATCATCTCAGGCCAAATGGGACAGTTCCTTTACTCTGATTTCATTTCTTTTCCCCCAGTGAGTAACAAGGCAGGGTGGAAATGTGACAGTGCTTCCACAATGACCTCATATTTCCCAGGGGTCAATGAGGTCTGAGGACAAGTAGCACCATGCACTCTACTCCTCACTGCCTCCACCTTGCGGACGCACACACCATAACCGACCCTCAGCTCCTCTTACCCTCCTGTTTACAACTGTCACCCTTCGCCACTTCCCCATCCAGGGGCCCAGTCTGCTCTCTCATCTCCGGGCCCGCGTCCAGGCAGGCTGCAAGCTTTCCCCAGAGCCCTGCGGCCACCTCCTGCGGAAAACGCACACCAGAGAGCTGCTCTCGGCTGGTCCCTCGGCGAGCGTCCCGCCTCAACAGGTGCCCCCGCCAGGCCACACAGAGCTGTCACCCGGGACCCGGGCCGCGGCGGGGACAGGAACGCCCGCTGCAGAACAGGAGGGCCACATTCGCGGGTCCTGCTGGGCCGAGGCCCCCCTGTCTGCCGCACAGCCTTTGTTTCTCCACTCGATTTGAAATCGAGGGGCTGACCCCAAACAAGGGACTCGCCGAGCCCAGGTGCCCGCACTGCCCTCTTCGAAGGGCGCAGTGGACACTGTAACGAGGGTGAGGGGCACGGCCAAGAGGAGACCTTTCTCCAGCCCTGAGGACCGCATGGGTGATAACGGTACCGAAGAAGCAAGCCCAGGCTGGCCCAGGCTGGGGAGTGGGAAGGAAATCGGGCCGCACCTCTCAGCGCCCCCACTCGGCGTCATTGGCCCCTAGGGGGCTGAAGAGGGGCTGCGCACCGCCACCTACGCGCTCGGCAGCGCGCAGCTCCGACCGCCCGGCCGTGGCGCCCGTGGTCCGGCCGCCTTCCGGGGGGAGCCCGGCGGGCAGTCTCCCGGCCTCCGGCCCCGGCGGTGCAGCGCCCCGAGAGCCGCCACGTTCCCAGTCGCGCGCGCACGCTGAGCCCACCAAACTTGCAGCACTTTCTCCCAGGCCCTATCCGCTGTCACCCTCCTTCCACCGGTGTGCCCCGGCCTCCCGCCGGCCTGGCCGAGGTTGCCATAACAACGGCCAGGAATTCTCCAATATATACAAAGCCGGCCCCGAGCGACGCGCGGGCAGCCCCGGGTCCCGCGCCCTCCGCAGCCGCGCGGGTCAGGACGCGCGCCCCGGCCCCCAAGCGAGCTGGCTGGCCGGTCGGCCGGCGTGCAGGGCGGACTCACAATGAGCGGGATGGTGCGGTCCTCGCGGAGCTGCTCCGGCCTCCCGCCAGTCCTCTGTGCGCCCCGGCCGCCCGAGGATGCTGCGTGGGCTCGGTTGTCCTGCCATAAGTAGTAGAAAGTGCCCAGGATCCAGGCTACGGTCAGGATGGCGATGGCATTGGCGCGGATCTTCCTCATGGTGGGCGAGCGGGCGGGCGCCTCGAGCGGGGCCCGGGGCCGGCGTGCTCTCGGGGCTGGGGCGGGGGGCGCTCGCAGCCCCAGCTGTTTGTTTTCGCTCGCGTCCGGCTGCTCAGTCCTGCAGAGCAGAAAAAAGGAGAGAGTGGTGGTGGTGGTGCTGGTGGTGGTGGGGCGGCGATAGGGAGAGACAGGAGCGCGGAGCGATCCTCACGGTCCTAATGCCCTTCAGCCCCGAGAGCGCGCGGCCCCCAGGCACCCATTCATTCGCGCGCAAAGCCGGCCCCCGCTCCAGCCCCCGCCGGCCGTTGGGGCCGCTGCGCGGCAGGGAGGAGCGCGGCCGTTGGGAAAGCGGCACGGGCCTTCCCGCCGCGTACCGGGGCCCGGAGAGGCAGACGCCCGCGGCGGAATGGCGACCGGCCAGAGCTAGTCTCGGCTCCCACCGCCCGGCGACACAGCGCCCGCCGGCTGCCCCCGCGCGGCCCCAGCGGGTCCCGCCTACCCCCAGCCACCCCCAGACGGAGCAGCCCTGAGTCACCGGCTGGAGACGCGTAACCCCCGGTCGCTGCCCGCGCCGCGGAGCTGCAGTTTGGGATTGCGCTCTAGCTGGGGGTTCACAGCGAGGCGGGGAGACGAGAGTCCTGAGTTTGCAAGAGAATCCTCTGCAGTCCTGGATTCGGAGCTGCCAGAGAGCCCGCCAGGAAGAGGGACTGGAAGCTGGTGCACTTGACATTCTGGGAACCCAGGGGTAGAGGGAAACCGCCTCGAAACCAGTGCGGGAACAGGGGTCCAAACACGTCGCTGTTTCCACCGGCCCCAGGCTCCCAGGGTTGGGGAGCTTTGCTCGACTCCGCCTCCCTGTCCCTTGACGACCCAGAGGTATCATCTTCACATTTTATCAAGAAATAATTATTTAAAAAAAAAATAGGAAGCTAAAACACAGCTGATTTGTTTGAGGGCACACAACTAATTAGTACGCAGACCTCAAGGGCAGATTATCCAATAAACTTGGTAAACGCAGGTTGGCTTGTGCTAATCTGTTAGTAATTTACTAATTTGTAGTAAACCATTTCACGTGAGTCTCACCAAATCGTGGAAAAGTTCACTACAGGCTAATAAGTACTTGTGCTTATCTTGTCTTATTGGGTTTTCCGTCAAGAACGTAAATTTGAAAAAAAGCTCTGTTTCTTTAGGAAGGTGTGTGATTGAGAGAGACAGATGCCAGCCATACCTAGAAGCAGAATCTTTGATGTGGTGGAGAGAAAAGTGAAATTGTTCACTACAGATTAGTAAGTAAACACAAATAAGCCTGTGTTTACCTTGCTTAATAAGCGATCTGTCCCTGGCAGAGCCAACTGTAGGAACTGTATTTCCAGACTTTTTTTTTTTTTTTTTAAAGTGTAATATACCAGCGAGGGTTGAGGGAAGGACATAGACCATTGAGCGCCTGCCCAGCCCTGAAGCCTGGAGAATCCGTGTGAGCTCCCCTCACCGACAGCAGAAGGCAACAGTGGGCTGAATGAGTTCTAGGAGGCCAGCGCAGTGCAGAAAACAAAAACCAACAGAGGGATCACAGAGGAAGACACACAAGGTGGCCTTTCACAGGCTTCTCAGAAGAGACTGCCTTTGAGTAAGTCCTTAAGAGGCAGGGAAAGGGGAGTGGAGAACAGGCTGCATAAAAAGTCCAAAGGAAGATCTAGACGATGTTGAGGAATTCAGGGAGGAAGAATCCCCTCCTCGTCAGTATGCTGCAAAGGGTTTGGTAGGAATTGAATTTGGCTGGCCCTGGCAAATACAGATTTGGGAGGTGCTTGAGTTGGGAGGTGAGAGCAGCAGGATTGGTAGCAAATTTGCTTCCTTCTAGGCACTGTGGAACATCTGAAGAGCCACAGAGAGTCAGGGTCTAAAAGTGAAGCTGTCTTGGCAAAGAGTGTGGTGGAAGCATCAAGCCCATCTCCCAGAAGCCCATGGGGGACTGTGAAGCACAGCAGAAATCAGGTGATATTTCCCAGGGTTTCTCTAGTACTCATGACGGAACTGAGCCTATAACAAACACCCACCAAGTTCCTGAGGAATGGAAGGAAGCCCTGTGGCTGCAGCTGTGAAGTCATTCAGGGGACTGTTCAGGAGGCTCCAAAAAGGTCTCACCGAGCACAGGGCCCTTGGAAGTGGCGAATACACAGAAGAGGGCTGCATGATAATCTATAAAAACAGCAGGATGGCTGAAGCAGAAGGCCCCCTGGTGGCACTGTGGTTAAGCACTCAGCTGTTAAGTGAATGGTCATTGATTCAAACCCATCACTGACTTCTTCATGGAGGTTTACTTTCATTAGGATTACAAGCTTGGAAACTCCCTGGACGGGGTCAATAAGAGTCAGTCAACTAGACAGTAATGGGTTGGGTTTGGCTTCAGAGACATGAGCGGAGTGTGGTGGTCACCAGTGGGGCGTGGGTGTGGAGAAGGTGCTGGCAATAGCCAGGGCTTGGGTACTGAAACCCCTCTCTGGAAGCAGTGGGCCAACCTAATGCACACAGGTATGTCTTGGAAACGATTCTTTTTTGCCATAAGCTGTGCTACTCTTGCTATGGAGTTAGATCACACTGCACTAGGGGCTCAGGTTATTTGCATAGATGGAGAAAACCTATCTACTCACCGCAGTTTTGACAGGAATCATGAGATTGGACCTCACTGAGTCAAGGCATCTGTGGAGGTCCAGGGGGCCTCGTTCTTAATGAGCAAGCTCTCCAGCCTCTCTGGCCAATCAGGAACGTGTTAAAGAACCACCCAGCTGATGGCCTGTTACCACACAGACTCTTGTGATGTGCACCAGGTGGAGGAACAGCGCTTTGCTACCCAGGCTGCTCCTCTCTACCCAGCCTGGTCTGTGCAGGTCTCTTCGGCTTTGTTCTTGTGAGGTGCAGGTGAATCCCAAGACACCATATCATCTCCTGGTGAAAGGCTGCTGTGGGGGATGAAGCTGGACCAAGTCAAACTGAAATCAGACTGGGGTTGCTTCTGTCTCCAGGCTCCTTCCTATGAGGGGAGGGAGACAGGAGCTGGGATTTGGCAGAGTTTCTACCACTCACTCCCTGGGGCTCAGTGGTGAGGATGCTTCGAATTGCCACTCACTGTTAGGTGTGTTCCAAGAAGCCTGTTTCCCCACCCCTCACCACCATAAAGAGGTGTAACCTTGGTAGACGTGGTGTTAGACTTTACAACCTGGTAGATGGGGCGGAGCCGGGTAAGTAGTTGCCATCCTCATTTGATCTGGAGATCTGACATGGACAGAAGTTGAATGATGTGCCTCGAGCCACAGGCTAATTCCTGGAGCAGTAGAACAAGGAGCTGCCACTTTAGCCGCAGCCCACGACTCTAACCCCTATAAGCCCCGAGCTGAGCCTGGACGGTCTCTGGGATGGACTTCAGCATTCAGGGGTACGAATGAGTGCTGCCCTCTGATCCTGGGAATAGATTTCATCCGGATCAACCAGAGACTCAAAGCCACACCAGAGAGATTTAACGTTGCCTGGAGTGTTGAACTTTGAAAACTACAGTGTTAACAGTAGTTATAGTTTACTTGAAGGAACTCTGATGACACAGTGGTTAAATCACTTGGCTGTGCTAACCAAAACGTTGTCAGTTTGAACCACTTGGTTGCTGAGCAGGAGCAAGATGTGGTATTCTGTTTCCCTAAAGATTGCAACCTCAGAGACCTATGGGGCAGCTCCACCCTGCCCTCTAGGGTTGCTGTGTTGTTATGTGCAGTTGAGTTGTCTGTGACTCATAGCGCTCTTACGTACAACAGCCCTAAACCCTGCCATATCCTGTGCCAACTTTACTGTCTCTGACACACCTACACCCATTACCCCAGTCTCTGAATCAATCCATCTCATTGAACGTCTTCCTCTCCTGCACTGTTCCTCCTGTCTCTCCTGTCCACCCTCCCAAGCATGACGTCCCTCTCCAAGGACTGGTCCCATCTTGGAATCAATTGAACAGCAGTGGATTTTATGTGTTTAGTTTACTTGACTAGCTGCCAGGAGCCAGCTATCCACATACATTATGTTGAAACTCCCACAATTCCACAGTTTAGGGATTATTGTCTCCACCTACAGATGAGGACAGTGAGACTGAGTGGCTTGCTTGGAGACCCACAGTCGATGAATGGGGGATTTGAGGGAAGGCCTGTGCCATTTTCACTGCTTAGTTCAGGACACTGGTGCAGGGCTGATGGGGCCAACAGGGCAGCCTGTAGGGTGGTCAGATGTCCATGCACAGGCACTTCACCTGGCCCTCTGGATCTCTGTATTCCTCTCTGTGATAAGAGAGATGTGATTGTCTCCCACCCCACCCCCAGCATTTGCTCTTCGAAGGCAGGAACAGTGAGCAAAGCATATGCTACCACGCAGCAGGCACAGCGCCAAGTGCTTTAGTACATGGTCTTAGACTACTGACAGCGATCCTTTGAGGAAGGCGCAATCGTTCGTTTCACAGATGAAGACATCTGCACATTCCTGCAGAGGTCGCCCGGCCACCTAGTGCAGTACTTGCTATCCACTGCCAGCAGACCATACTTAATGCATTAATGTCTCTAAGGAAAATTTACTTGTAAGCTAACTTTCTGTAGACTGAGTAGATTTATAAGCGGAAAGGACCCGGTTCTTTAAAAGGAATTTGCAGAGTCTTCTTCCTGCAATTGACAGCCTTTTGTAACTTTGGGTTTTTATCAGTTTCTTGCCACTGAAATGTAAGCTCCATGAAGGCAGAGGTTCTTGAATGTTTTATTCACTACTGTATCCCCAGTACTTAGAACACTGCTTGGTGTATACAGTGAGGGCATGTAGTCCATGCTCATTTAAGATCTGTGGGAGGAGAGAGGGTGGATGGAGAAGAAGAAAGGCAAGCACTTCTCTCTTAACAACTGTGAGAGATGGGAGCTGCACCTGAACCCAGAGAAGCTGAGCATCTTGTTTAGAGACAGTGTGGACACGTGTAAGGAGTAACGCAGGCCCTTTAACACTTGGTCCTGCGTTTCCTTGGGAGCAGCTGGCTCACTCAGTCCTTTGTTTCAAGCCCTTTGTTGTCCTTTCAGAAGTCAGGGTGGAATGACCCTGATTTTATTGGGTAATTTGCAATAAGTACAATTTTTATTTGAAAGAAAGTAAAAGCACCCCAAACCTCCTGGTGAGCGGGTTCCTACTCTCGTAGCAATGCTTACAGGGAGCAGCAGACCTGCCCCTAGGCTGTAGGCTTTGCAGAAGCTGACTGACACATCTTTGTCCCTCAGAGAAGCCGACTTTGGTGAGCTGCCAAATGCTTAACCGCCGCACCACAAGG